CCAGCCACTGTAGGTTCCCCTGGGCACTCCCGTGTGTTCCATCTTTACACCAGGTTCTGAGTGAGGAAATTATCCCATGTCTTTGAAAAGGATGGCCACGCTTTCCATTCAAGGAGGAAATGGGCTCTGATACCTCACTTTGGCCAGGCTCTCAGCTGTCAGCACAAAAGTGTGAAGAAGGGCTGACTGTTGTCCCACTGGCCCTGATGTTCTAGATTCAGAGAATGAATCAGACTGTCAAGGTGTTTGGGGAGGCTGGAGGATGGTCTGCCAAATATTCTTGGTGAAGGTACTGTGTGATAGACTAGTTCCATACTCCTATGCAGTGGAGGTACAGGTAGACACGAGGTTCTTCCATAATAACTGGAATGAGAGACATTAATATTTAATACCAGAGTGGGTACCTGAGGAAAAAATCCAAGGGTAGCAAGATAATTCAGAATGGTTGTGAAAGGCCTCTAAAGAGGGGACCTGAATTCCCTGGGAGAGCATTTTAGACGCTGGGAACAGTAGATGCAAAGACCCTGGCTATAATGGTACCTGGAACATTTGAGGCCAATGTTGCTGGATGAGGACAGAGGATGGGATGGGTGTGGTGCCACTACTGGGCCTTCACCTTGGATGAGTTGGAAGCTGTAAACCTGTCTCCTTTGATGATTCCCATCCTTTCTCTACTCTTTATCCTCAGGCCCCGTGGAGAACTGACTCCCCAAAGACCCAGTCCCTTTGCACCCCAAGAAGAGGGTTTGCGAGCAGAATCTTGTGTGGACGATGGAGCCATTGCCCCTGACACTGACACAGCCTCTGGGGAGGCACCCGAGGCTGGGCCCTCCCTCTCCTCCACCATGTGCCAAACAGGAGGCCCAGGCCCTCCACCCAGCCCCCAAGATGGGTCCCCTGATCCCCCTGACCCCCTCGGAGCCACATGAGGCAGGAAGCCCCATCGCTAGATAGCCACACTTCTTGGAACTGAACTGAACTCTTTTGGGCCTGGAGCCCCTGGCACAGCGGCGGTCCCTCCTGACCCACTCCTGGCCTCATGAGGGCCACTTGCTTCAGGAACCTGGGCCCCAATCTTGCGTCTCCCCTTACCCCCAAGCCTGGCCCCTGGAGGGGTCTCTGATTCAAACCTTCGCGTGACATTTTCACATTATTTAAAAAAGACAAAAAACAACTTTTTGGAGGAAAATGGGGCCTCTGTGTATTTGGGGATGTGGGAAAGGAGATGCCAGTAGACACTGCATGGAAGTCACTGTCCTTTCCTCATAACCCTAAGGCGAGGTGCCATGCAGCGGTGGGTCTTGCCAGCCTCTCCGTTCCCTGTTCTGGGTATGCTCCTTATAGCTCCTGACATTGATGGCAGCCTCAACTTATGAGGAGTCACTGACGGCTTGAGACCAAGCAGTTGTGGTAACCATGTTCCTGCAGGGTCTGGAAACTGTTACAGGCCAGGTGGTAGTGGGAAGGAGCTCAGAACTGATTTGCTGAAACTCAGCTGAGTCATCTGCTCAGTTGCCTGCCCACATTGGCCTGACTCAGTTTACTCACACCTCCTGGGTAGGAACACAATCTCTGTGTGCACATGCATGCACACACACACCCCTCTGGCCGTGGACAGCTGTTCTTTGCCTGCCTAAGTGCTCCTGTTCTCTCTGATTCTGCTGCTCTAGTTTCTCCCTGTTTCTATGTTCTCCCATTGTGTCTCCCTGTGCTTCTGAGTCAGTTACACACTGGGTTTTGTCTGTTGCCTCCCTCCCTCCTGTGGCTGCCTGTTCCTTAGCTTCTCTGTGGTTAGGCTTTCAGTGTCTCTGCACTGGGGTTCCTCATCCTCCACACTTGGGGACCAGATTTTTTTTTGGTACATGAAGAGAGTGGATTTGCATGGTGGAAGAAGGCAGAGCAAGGGGCAGATTTGAGCAGGATGGCATGCTCTGGTTTATAAAGTGATAGGACATAGGGATCACCCTTCACCATAGGATCATTGCCTAGCAAATGGTAACTGATATAATCTAGAGACATGCCAGCCCTGGTGGGGGGTGGGGATCATGGTAGTACAGGTCTTGATGTCCTAGTTCAAAGAACGAAGGTTATGGCCCTAATGCCAAGGCTGAGAGAGCGCTAGGGCCAGTGTTTTCCTTTTCTGTGTGTGTGTGTGTGTGTGTGTGTGTGTGTGTGTGTGTGTATGTGTGTTTGTGTGTGTAGGTGTAGTCTGGCTCTCTGTATGGCCCTGTCCTGGAATTCTCTGTAGACCAGGCTGGCTTCCAAATCAGAGATCAGACTGCTTCTGCCTCTGCTGAGATTAAAGGTACAAGCCACACCTGGCAAAGGCCAGGACTTTTAGGTCTGAGGGAAAAGGGCTGTGGCCTGAACTGATGGGTGAGGGAGGAGGGTGAGAACTTTCAAGCCTTAGTGTGAGTGAAGAGGACCAGAACTGCTGGTGTTGAGAGGCTCATATCCTACCCAGTTAGGAAGGCTAGAGTCCCAATTTTCTAGTCTGAGTAGAGGGATGGGGCCAGGACCCCTGTATCTGTGAGTCTGGATCCTGTCTGAGGGAGGAGCCAGGGATCAAGATCCCTGGTCTGAAGGAGGGGTATACTGTTTCACTGGCACCCACTCCACAAACTCATATTTAGTATCTTCAACCACAGAAACTTACTGCTTCACAGTTTTGGAGGCTAGAAGACCAAGACCAACGGCATCAGTATTTGGGAAAATTTCTTCCGTGGTTTTGCCAGCTTGGCTTCAGGTAACCATTGGCACTCCTTGTTTATGCTGTACCCTACTCTCTGCATTCAACTCCACATGGCACCTCTGAGGCCTTCTGTCTAAAGACCCACTTTGGGGGAGGCTTTTTGTATGTGTGTGTGAATGCTGGTGGGCACTGGGGAAGCATGGTCTTATATAACTCAGTCTAGTTTTGAACCCCTTGATCCTCTTGCCTCAGCCTGTCTCTGAGGACACCCCTCCTCCCCCATGCTTGGCCTGAAGGGTAGTTTAAAGCATTTTGCTATCTGACTTGAATGTTGCACAGATACTTGCAGCTTTGTTTGGCCAACATTTCCTTCAGCTCCTCAGTCAGGCACTGCCAAGTATCCCAGCCCTGGGCCCATTGAAGTGGCTCCTCCACACTCAATCTGGGTCCCATTCACTGGGTCACTGAGGCCTACAGACATCTTTTCACCCTCCCTCTACTTGCTTTCAGTCACCCTGACCACTTTAAACACACTATACTCCTGCCTCATCTCTTAGCTTCCCATAGCCAAACCTGCATTACCTGCTCTTGCCTCACATAGCTACACCAGTCACCACTTGCCACAGGCAATGATCCTATGGCAAGCAGAGCCCTACTGCCAGTGTTTTCCTAAGCACCCATGTCCTTGTCACCCTCAATTTCTGAGAATGAGCAGTCCAGCACAAATGCACCCCTTTTCCCACCAATCCAAACTCTACCTGTCTGTGCCAAGCAAATCTGGTCCCAAGGTGTGAGAGACAAGTGACCTGAGAGACAAGTGACCTAAGCTGAGAGACAAACACAGTGCCTCTCTGCTGCCCAGTCACAATTCCCTTATGGTAAGTATTGGGTTCAACCCATGGGTCAAAGGGTGTCTAAGAACCTCTGAAACATCAGGCAGTGGTGGCACATACCTTTAAACCCAGCACTCAGGAGGTGGGTCTCTGTGAGTTCGAGGCCAGCCTGGTCTACAGAGTGAGTTTCAGGACAGGCTCCAAAAGCTACCTGAGAAACCCTGTCTCAAAAAGGCAAAAAAAGAACCTCTGAAAGATTCATTGTGCTGGGCGGTGGTGGCGCACGCCTTTAATCCCAGCACTCAGGAGGCAGAGACAGGCAAATCTCTTGAGCTCGAGACCAGCTTGGTCTACAGGAGCTAATCCCAGGACAGCCATTAAAGTCACAGAGAAATCCTGTCTCAAAAACAACAAAAATGACTCATTGCCCAGTGCTTTTCTGGCCTTTTGGGTGATGCTGGAAATTCCATTTTATTTGGGAATCTCCATTTCACACCAGCTCCTGGGGAGGAAGTAGTTTATGCCTCCTTCCTAACTTCAAGCTAAACTCCAGAAAAACTTTAATACCTAGGGGACAAGACTGCCTTTGTCTAGTGACATACAGCCTGAACCACAGAGCCCACCTAGTCTTGAAGGCTGGTACTTTACCTAGATTAGTGCTGTTGGGGCAGACACCCCTAGGTGCCTGTAGCCAAGGGAAGGCAAGACAGAAACCCCCAACAGGGATCTGTAGATCCAATACACACCTTCTGGAATCTCAATTCCCAGGTCACAGGGTAGCATCCTTTCTTCCCAGTCAGGCCTGCATGCTGGGAAGTAGTAATTCCTCTAGAAATACTTCAGGGATGGTGAGGTAGCTAGCAGTCTATAATGCCAGCACTAGGAGGATATGGCAGGATTCACTTTAAGGTCACCACGGGCCAGGGAAACAAAAATAACAAGCTTCTTGACTCCAAAGGTGGGCAGCAGGCACTGGGCCTTTGTTCTCTGGAGTCAGTTGGGGACTTAGCATTGCCACCTTCAGTAAGATTCCCTCACATGAGTCAGGACACACATACCCAGGCCTTTTGACAAAAACCACCTCTAGAGGCTGATTCTGGGGTTGGAGAAGCCACTGCCACCTCCAAAGCTATCTCACGCACTTCATGGTACTATTGTGCCCTCTCCAGCCCACCAGAGCCTCAATGGACATCATGGCCAGTTCCTAGTGCCCAACACAGGGTCTTCTCTGCACTTCCTTCCAGAGCCAATATGTTGTTCTAACTCTGGTCTTCCCTGCCAAGTCCCCCAATGACCACAGGCCCCACAAAGACAGAGCACATTTTGAGTGTATGCTGCACTGCAATACCATCCCCAGACACTAAATTTTCCTTCACCCAGAACCCAGAGTTGAATGACTTATCTGGGAAGCCCCTGCCTTCTACCCAGGGTCCTGCTCAGCTCTCCCAACCCCAAAAAATGAGGGCATGTGCAGGCGCGAGGGGTTAAATAATTAATAAGATTACCAACATGTTAATTACAAATAAGGAGACAGGAGCTAGAGGTGGTGATTTTCCAAATGGGGAACCAACCAGGATCCATAGCCCCAGGGCCCAGGGGTCCTGCCACCCAGGCGGGGCAGCTCCAAAATAAATAATGGAGTTGGGGACAGGGGTCAGGGTTGTTCCTGCTTCTTTTTCACAGAAATCCGCTTCTTTCTTGCTGCCAGCATTTCATAGAAGGGGTCCACACTTACAGCAGCCCTGCAAAAAGGGGTCTGATTAGAACCAAGGGTCCAGGCCCAGCCCTCCCCGCTCAGATCCCAGCCCCATGAGGCTTACTGGATGGACTTGATCCATTCATCTTTCTCCTCCTGGGTGGGTGCTAAGATTCTGTATACCATGTGGTTCCCCTCCACTACCCGACCATCCGCCTCGGTTTTGCAGGCTTTGATGAGCTGTCCCTTATTGTTGGGAATGTAAAGCTCAAAGCAGTTCTAGGATACACAGGAGTGAATAGGTCAGAGCAGCCCTGTGCCAGGACACAGAGGTGCAGGTTTAAGGGCACCTCATGAATCTTACCGGATTTTTCTGATCAACC